GAAAGCAGTAGAAGCAGAGTGGGAGTCTTCCAAACTTCTTCTCTTTCATACTGAGTTTCCTTATTCATAAATGAAGTGGTTGAACTGGAAAGCCTCTTAAATTCTCCTCTCTGCGTTATGAATTGTCTTCCTAATTAAAATGTAAGTTCCTTGGAGGTAGAAACTGTCTCATTTGTTTGTATTTTTATCACAAGTATTTAGCATTGCCTGGCTGTATGTCTGGTATATACCTAAGAAATGTTTTTTTTTCTTTCATCCATTCTGTTTTGTCTGCCTGTCCATCCATCCATCTCCCTCTAGCTCTATCTACATATGTAGGTATATATGTATGTATCTGTCTGTCTGCCTGTCTGTCTATCTATCTATCTTTCTGTCTATGTCCATCATCTTTCCTGTCACTATTAAGAGAAGGGAAAGTATGAAATAAAAAAAATTTTTTTTGTATTTTTTTTCCTATAGAGTCTACCAAAAATGCGACCATCTCAAAATTTCTACAGTTGTGTATATTTCCTCGGTGCATTTTTTCAGCAGTTGATGCTGTTTACTGTTCTCATTTTGTGGAGTTACTACACCAGCAGAAAACTCCTAATTTTTCTACTCTTCTCTATTACGATCAAGTAAGTTCTTTATTTATAAACATTTTTTGTTTCTGTTTAAGTTTTTACTCTTACTTCATAAAAACTCTAGTTTTATCATTATGTTTACTCCCTCTTTGAATAGAAATCACAGTTCTCTACATTATTAAAAAATACTTACTGTGGCCAAAAAGATTTAAATTTAAATACTAGGATCATATAAGAGACATACAAAATAGATAGAAGGTAGTTTCAAAGGGCCTTCTGTGTCTTTCTTTTGTTGTGTTTGGTAATACATTTCTTGTAGGTCGCTCTCTATGGAAGATAGAACTTTCCTGTTTTTTATGGTGTGACTAGGAATTGGAATAAAATGAGTTTTCTTGGAATTGGAATAAAATTGAGCTTATTATAAGAACCTGATCTAAATACTTTTTTTTTTACTANTTTTTAGTTTTATTAAAAAAAGCTGGATGAAATTGCATTACAGAATACAGTATTTTTTATTTTCAAATTTTGCCTTGGATTTCAGTTTATGTGATTTTTCTTGGTTGGAAATGCTATTTTCTCATTAAAATATCTATAAAATAATTAAAATTACTACCCCGGCATGATGCTGTAATGTTTTTTAATAACATAGTAATCATATATTTAAGAAAACTTAAAATTGAGGTTGAAAAGTATTAAATCAGTTGTTATTTTAAAAATTATTGGGTATTTTAAATTCCTCTCTTTCAGGTTTTCTGTGATATAATTTATACAGTGGCAAGTTGTACTGAAAATGAAGCAAGTAGATACGGCAGATTTTTGTGCTACATGCTGGCGACTGTGACTAAGTGGCATGGTGACAGAACAATATATGAAAAGGTAGGAAAATGATGTTTTAAGTTTTTAAAATTAATACTAATATGCACTTCCTATAGTAAAACAGCGTTTTCTTTTTGAAGTTTCGCATCTTGGTCTTTCTTTTTTGTATTCATCTTATTCATAAGGTTTCAAAAAATTGACCAGGTACTAATAGGAACCTTGGAAACAAATGCAAAAATCAGAAATATTAAACACATCCCTTTACATTACATTTAACAAAGAGACACTGAAAAATTATGAAAAATCAACTGGAGGTTATATGAACTTAATCCTAACGAATGGGTAGGCCAAAGAACAAATCACAGAAATAATTTCACTACAGATAATGGCAACAAATAGTTAACTTTCCAGAATTTGTGATACATATTGTTAGCAGGCCTTTATTGGATAATTAGTGAATTAGATTTTCAACTTTAAAAATCCCAGAAAGCCAAGAAATTAAAAACCTCAAACAGCAATTTCAGTTTTAAAATAGAAAATTAAAAGTCAAAGAAGAGATTAACAAAATTGGCAGAAAACTCAATAATCAATAAATAGAAGGACTTCATAAATATAAGTAAAATAGATGTCTTATTGTTCAGTCATTTTTCAAAATGATATGTCTCTTTGTGATCCCATTTTTTTTTTTTTT